TGTTGTTGTTGTTGTTGTTGCTGCTGCTGCTGCTGTTGCTGTTGTTCAGGCTCATTAGGCTCTTCCTTAACTGGAGACATTTCTGGCTCACTTGGCACTGGCTCCAACTTCAAAGGAAGTGGCTGTTTCATATTGATACTTGTCTCTTCAGGCTCTGTCTTAATTTCCGGCATATCATCGATCATTGGTTTTTTATCGATAGTATGAATAACAGGAACATTGATAGGTAACGTAGGAACAGTAATTGGAAGGGCTGTTGTAACAGGAATGGTATCAGTTTGCTCTCTCTCCTCCTGCTGATTCTCAACAGGTGATGCTGACTCCTCCTGAACAACAGGCACTGGTGGCTGCTCACTCGTCTCTATTTCATTCTCCCTTTCGGGCTCATCCATCAATGAATTAGAATCAGTGGTGAGTGACTCAGACGGGCTATCAGGACTTCCCCTCTTACGTTTCTGATTATCCTTATCCTCCTCAGGCTCTTCCTGGGGCCTCTTCTGGCCCTTCTTTGGAGTCTCCACTTTTGCTGGTGTATTTGTTTTTTTCTTCTTGTCTGGGGTTGCTTGATTGGTTGACGCTACTTTCTCCTGCTTATCTTGATCTGGTGTATCAGTACCACCGTTACGACGTGGACGCGACGGCCTCGGTGTCTCTTTAGCTTTATTACGCGTTCGCATTCTACCGGGACTGTCTGGTGATTCGGCTGGTACCGGACGAAACAGATAGGGCTGGGCTGGGGGCAATTCCCCAGTTTTCTTCAAGTGCGAACGACATTCTAAGCACAAAAGTAGACGATCTTTACCAGCGACTTGATAATCCTTTGATGTTGTTGAAAAACAGTGCTGACAGGATCTCTCAAATGCCGAACCATTGGTATTCGTATCGCGTGAATCACTGTCCTCCTCCGAATTGTCGTCCTCGGTAACAGAACTTACCTCACCACCAGGATTATTATTGTTATTAGTCGTTGTTGTGTTTGAGCTTGCCGAGGCACCGACTGGCGGTGTCTCGGGCTCGTTTGTCGTCTCTTTAGCGCTCGTCGTGTTTGGGGGTGTTGATTCTTTGGGGGCTGGTGCCTCCTCCTTTGGAGTACCAGCGCGTGAATTACGGGTATTGCGAATTCTACGGAGTGATCCCTGTCTGCGACGTCTGTGGGGACGATTGTTGTTAGCACCTGGGGTTTTCTTCCACAGATAATAGAATTCAACGAGCTCAGGTGTGTCTTTGTGCGGTAATAGGTCTTTGCGAATGCGAGAGAAATTCTTGCCAAATTGACGGAGTCCTTTGACGAAGCGTTTCTGTTTTTTTTTGTTTTGTTTGGAGGGAGAGACATGATAAGATAACAATTAGTAATTAATCAATGATTTTGTGGTATTAATGAGTGATTAGAATTAGTGAAACTTACAGTCTCTTCCTCGGACCATTTTTTATCAATGCCTTTGGGTACTGGACACTTGACGAGTGCTTGGAGTGCTCTGCCAGGATCATATCCAGAATCGTGAAGAATATCGAGTGCGTTAATTGTTGTGTCGTCTCTGGATGCTGCAACGCAACCATCGTCTGGTGAGCCTCCATCACACATACCAGCGAAAGCTGCCATTGAGCGTGCAGCCCTCAGGTACATGACGAGATCTCCGTCTAACGACATTGCTGGTATCCATCTTAATTCCTCTCTTTCCTTAATAAATTCAGGATCGGGTTGGAGATCAGCTGCTGGTACGCCCGGCCGGTACTCAGGCAAACGGGCCTGGCAAGAAACCAACTCCTGTACACCAGAATTTTTATGGTTTTCGAACGGCGGTTAGCACTCATCCAAGCAGTTAGTCATATCTTAATCATCTATCCTCATTCACGTTCATTAATTATCACAAAGCAATCCAATGGGAATTTGAAAAACGCACCACGGGGGCTTGATTGGAGCAATCAGAGGTACATTTCACCGTGACTGTCAACCACAAGAGGCTGGACTTATCTTATTAGTACTTTTTTTTTAAATGTTTGGTCGTTTGTTTTTTTAGTCGTCAACCTGTTGTCTATCGATGTCTATTCGATTCTGGTGTCACAGTTGTCGGTAGATTATTTATTTTCATTTCAATTAATTTGATTTGTCACTGGAAATTAATCGACGAGATACTCCATTGTCGCGCCTTTCAACCGCCGTTATTTCATTTTTATTTATTTATTTTTTTCACTGATAATTCTGCATACCTTTCCCGCCCGCTACAAATATTCAAATCACCATCCCCTCTCGTGACCCATTCCACCCACTTTATCCCCGGCCTGAGGAAATCCACCGGAAACAGGTCAACGATAAAAAACCATCCAAACCTTCGGGTAAAAGAATAAAATAAAGGAACCCTCTCTAATCGGTCCAACAAGCCTCAAATATTCGGTACGGAGAAAAATCCAATGAAATTGGAGAGTACAATTTTCCTTGCAACAATTAAAGAAGATATTCTCACCAGAATATAGTGAATATTCTCCAGTGAGCAGATAAAACGAAGTAAGTATTTTCGATAATATCTCTAAAACCGAGAGAGATGGTGAAATTTTTGTGAGAATCTTTTTTGTAGAGCTCATCAAGAGCTCGAAAAAAGGTCATTACAAAAAAATCGCTATACCGTGCAGTTGTGGGGATATTTTCGAAATAAATCGTAACTTTTTATGAAGTTCAATGGAGAATTCAAGAGTAAATGAATAAACTTGTTGTCAATTAGTGGAAATAAGGAAAAATAATTTGGAAAATTCATTGAAGGATTTTTCTTAATTACTCATGGTGACATGAATTTGTCTGAATATTTTTTTGCTATTGAATTTATGCCAAACCTGGTGCGATGGACCGACCCGAATCTCCCCCTGGGTGCCGGCGGACATCTCCCCCTCCTCCGTCGCTCCGACGTCTTTCTCCAGTGTTATCGACTGGGTTGTATTCGATATCTTGTATTTATTTGTTCAATTAATTTTAAATCGTTTTTTTTTGTCAACTATCCAACCCCTGAACCGAATTCAAATCAAACATTTCTCATAAAACACTTTCAAATAATGAATAAAACAATAAAACATCAATAATCGACACATGCGGGCCCATAAACAAAGATAAATAAACAATCGAAAAATTGACCGTAATATTTATAGCAATTAAGGTGGTCATTAGTCACGGTGAAAGGCCCACAAGAGCCACCACATATGGAAAAAATAATCGTCAAATAAACACATCTAATTGAAGAAAATAAATTGGACGAATGAAAATGGCTCGTTACACAGGGCTGTCATTAATACCGATTATTAATAATTAATTCCAATGCTAAAGCCTGAGACTGGGTACTTGATAAAAAAAAAAAAGAGAGAGAGAGAGAGAGATGAAAAAAAAAAGTGGACGTGGGGGGAAGCAACGCCAGTCATGGCAGGAAAAACAGATTGAAAAATCTACCAATAAATCAAACAATTTAAATCGGCCCTATCCACTAGTAACACAGGGCAATAAAATCGGAGTTTATTTGCTGATAAATAATAAGATAGGATGATAAACTTACTCGTGATTTACTCGTGTTGTTGGTGATGTGTTTTTAGCATTGTTTTCCAGTATACAACACACGCCAGGAGGTGTCACACACGTGATCGTCGGGATTAATCTGTCACAATGGGTATTAATTAATTTGACGCTGTGAATGATGCTCGACGTTTTCTGATGATTGTTTGGGGGTATTATTAGAATTATTGAGGATTAAAAGCAACAACACGCACTCAGTGGCCACAACACCCAAACGCAGCCATCTTGTACTGCGTTTTGTTTCGTTTTTCTTTTGTGGGGGTGCGTTCCAATTCCAAATTCCTCTATTTTTCACTGCATGAGGATTTGGTTCGTTCGTTTCCAGGCGTTTCTTATTTTTATCGACGAGAGGGAATTTCCTCGGGTGTTTTTGAGTGACAAACAGTCCAAACGGTGGACGAATTCCCCCACCTCGAATTGTTGAGAATAAACGAATGAAAATCAAACCTAACCTAGATTAAACATCATCTCGTTTGGAAATATATATTCCCCTCGTCGATCATCAATTGGTGAGGGAAATTTGTTTACAATATCAACCCCTCAGCGAAATCAACGAGATGGATGATAAACGACTGGTGGACGATAAAGTCATGCTGCGACATTAATTATTGAGTCAGTGGAAATCGGTGAGGATACTGCTGTGATGCAGGTGAAAATCCTGATTTTCTAAATTTAGAATTTATTTATAGAATGAGACGAACTGCTGCAGGAGAACGAGATTTTCGGTGTGAGGTATCCGGGAGGTATGTAAATTATGATGGAATCAAAAATATTATCACTTTTTATTTTTGCTTGTATTCAAGATTTCATTGGGAATTTTTCGTTAATGAAGGAATTGTTATCAGGACTCCGATTAGTCACAATTTCGTCGTTATCGATTTTGGGATGGATGGATGGATGTCATGGATGCGATAAGTTTAATGGATTTCAATTGTTTTCACGAGTTCAATGGGATTTTCAGGGATTTATCATCAAGCAATGGCACTAGACAGCATTGGCAGAGGAATGGACAGACTTCAGGAGATCAGTATGAAAATCCATAAGAGTCATTTGACTTATCTGCAGACTGACGACAGCCCCTCGAAGATTCAGAAGCGACTCAAGCTGGAAGGTGATTTAATTAACGACTCAAATTAATTCTGTAATTGATTGATAAAATTGATGGAGTGCCATTAAAAAACGGACATCAGACTTTACTAATTTACTTACAGAATTATAATTATGACTAATAGTATTTTTTTCGAAAAAAATATTATTTTATATCAGAATGATTACTTGATAATTCATATAATGAAATGAATCATTATGAATGATGTTTTTAATTAAGGATTCATCAAAGAGTACCTCTGCCTGGTGCCCAATGAGAATAAATACGTATTCCAAGAGACAGCCCACATCCTCCACCGATCAGCCTCGACTCTGAATGATTTCAGTGGCTACAGAGCCTGCGAGGCATGGAGTGCAATATCAATGTACGCCTCGAATCTCTTGGCTCAGCCCTGGCGAATGGAATATCGAATGCTGCGAACCTATTCTGGATACTACAAGCATGAGATTGAAGCGAATTTAATTGGCGCTGAATTAATGTTCGAGCTGATGGGCTATAAGCATACAGGCTTGGGTACACTGACCCTGGAGGGGCCCATAGACCCAGACAGGGTATCCTCAGTGAGTCGAGATGCAATCGTAGCATTCGTCGAGTGCCAGATTCTCAAGCAAATCTGGGAGGCAATCTCCAAGAACTTCAAGATCTCGTGGCTGGAGATCCTTGAGTTTCGTGAGAATCAGGTAGGAACACCTGAGACTGCAATCAGAGCACTGAGTCATCGTTTCTACGAGAGATTACATCAGAATCGATCGAAAGCCGAAGCCTATAGAAATTATCATCAGACTATTATCGATCAGGTGCCTCCAACTACTCTACCTTATCACATTATTCCCAGTAATTTTAATGGCATCAAGTCTGATTACTGCTATCCTGAAGAGAATTACGCATACTTTCAGTCGTACTGCGTCCCTCAGGCTCCCAGCAGATTTTACGGAGCCCTTCCTGAACCGTACTGCAATCCCATTTATGCTGCACGTGTTCCCACCGACAGATTGATTGAGATTGATCTACCAGTTCCAGTCTCCAATACCGATAAATCGAGTCATCGTAAGTCGTATCGAGAGGATCAAATTGATCACTCGATAGCCAGGCGAAATCCTGAAGACGATTACTCGAGGATCGAGCGAAGGCCAATGAAGACCTCGACGAGTCTCGATTCAGCACCCAACGAGTCCTGGGACTATGTCTTCAGATCTCTGGATAATGTGGGATACTCCAAGGACATCGGGGATAGAGAGGATATTCTGAAAAAGCGAGAGAAGATAAAGAAAGATAAACACTCGAGTCTCGAGACCGAGGACAAATCCCTGAGGGACAAGAAGAGGTTCTCCAAGGGATTCAGTGAGGACAGCTGTTTCAGGAAAAAGGGAAGTGTTGAATTGCTGGATATCAGGGATAATCTGGGACTCGGTGAGGAGAGGAGTAGCATTCAGGAGAAGGTGAGGAAATTCAGTCAGGGACAACCCAAAAATTATCAGAGGGTTGTCGAGTCTGTGAAAAATCTCACTATTGGCAAGGAGGAGAGAAAGGGTAAGGAGAATAAATGGGACTGCTCTACCTGCACTTTTTTGAATCCTGGGGACAGGGATATCTGTGAGATGTGCAATAAGAGTAGAAAAAAGGGAAATGAGGACAAACCACTGGCCAGTGGGGGAAAGGAGTGCCCTATATGCACTCTTGTCAATGAAAAGGATGCGGACAAGTGTGAGGCGTGTCGCACAAGCCTCAAGGATTCACCAACTTATATTTAGTTGAGGGCAACTCTGGAGTGAGGAGATTATAGTATTTTTCGGGGATGGGGACGTTATTCGAGAGAATTCTCTTGATTATTCGTGGCCTAGGAGTAACTGTGTTCGATATTAATATCAATTTCAAGGGAAAACACAGTATTTTGAAGTTTTATGGGGACGTGGTCACCACTGAATACTTAATCATCGAATAAATTCGTGTTTTCGTGAGTTTTTTAAATTCGAATTGAGATATTTAGTGTCACCACTCTGCCACTTAAATCACTTGGTATTATTGATTGCCTAATTGTTTAATATTTAGCAAATTTAGACAATCTTAAAAATCTATTTCATCTATACGCGATTGTTCAATGGCTATCAGAGAAAATTCATTATTAAAGGTGTTATGAATGAAAATTCCGAATTGGATGGTGGGGTAATTATATTGTTGATGAGGCACTCCAGTGAATCAAGTCATTTGTAATTTGTCTAATGACATTTTTCCCTGTTGGCGGGGAATTCTGGAAGAATTTCTGCTGGGGCTGGGGATAATCTTGGAGCTTATAAGTTATGATATACGTCTGTTGGATATAAACGTAAATATTACTGAAATTGACCACAGGAATTAGTGCCCTCACATTCCTCGTTTCTTCTTCATTAAATGTTTCTTTTCTTATTTATGATTTCTCCTGTGCAATATTACTTTAATATTTAATGTGTTGATTTAGAAAAACACGGGAATAGTATTAGATCGCTACTTTTTCCATTAACCCGTCGTAAATAGAACTCTAGTTGTTCGATTTTTGTTTGATACAAAATGGTTTTTGTTTTATTGAATACAATTAGAAAAAGAGTCTCCCATAGTCGATAAGGGAGTAGTTGAGTGGCACAAATGTAATATTGAATTTATCTTTTAACGATGTGCGACTCATTGAGAAATAATATTTATTCACGATTTTTTAGCGCTCGAGTTGAATGAACGGAAACATAAGGTCGGGGGATGGAGTTTTATTATTTAATTCATTTACTTCGGGCGCTGAATTTAGGAAATGATAATTCGCACCTTGAAATGTCTAGGTAAATGACGAGAATATTGGATTAATGCGTACTATGATATTTACATTAGTTGAGGCTTCATTGAGCTATAAAAGAATATTTAAATCAATCGTTTCGAAGATTATAACACATAAACGAACTAAGAATGTTGATATTTTTCCAATTTACGTGTAGACTCCATTTGTGTAAGAATATATTAGGAAGAAATGTAAGAGGCTGTTGTAAAGAGAATTAATAAATTTGTATGAAGACGAAGTTTGAGTTCAATTGATCTTCAATACGTAATGCAAATATATTAAATAAATATAATAAAATTATGATAAACAAATTTCTCCAAAAAGTCATTTAGGGTTTGAAACTGCGGGGGGTTACGTGTAAAAAAGGCCCATGGTTACGTATAAAAAAGGCCCAAAATTACGCATGGGGTTCCCCCGTTTCCCCTCTGGGCCAGTCATCGCTGACAGCAGCTGGCAAATAGGATTGACGTAAGTCCTCCTTGCAACCAATCAGAGAGGAGTGACTAAAGTAGGGGTGAAATGTATTATAGGGGTGAAATTTATTTTCTGCGGTATGAATGCTTTTTGTTTTTTATTTGTTTAACTGAAATTTAGCCGACTGTAGAACGTGGGGAAGGAGGAAACCACATCTTGTGAAATTTCAATGAAAAAAATTATTTAATATATTGAAGATATACCACTAATGAAATTATAGTTTTAGAATGAGCGCGTTGTCTAAATGGTAACGTGCTTGCCTACCACGCCGACGGCCCGGGTTCAATCCCGCCGTCGTTCATTTTTTTTTTTAAACAATTCCAATTTTTTCTTT